TATGTTCCACAGAAAGGCCCAGAAGCAGTTCTTTTCAGGGAGGCATTGAGCGCCATTACAGGGGGTACACCTGTGTCTTTCAAAAGTTCTGAAAAAGACCAGCCCTGGCTGGTGTGGCTCAATGGATTGAGCATCCAGCCTGAGAACCAAAGGGTCGACGGTTTGATTTCCAGTCAGGGCACATGCCTGGGTTGCAGGCCAGGTTCCCAGTAGGGGGCGCATGAGAGGCAATCACTCTTTGATGTTTCTCACCCTCTCTTCCCCTCTAAAAACAAGTAAATAAAATCTTTATTTTAAAAAAAAAAGACCACAGTGATGTATATAACCCTAAATGCTCTAGGTCTGGGAGCTGAACAGCTGACTTAAGTTGCTATAGTAGAGGGTCACAGCCTCTAACCCAGTTTCCGGACCCAGAGCCTCCAGAAGGGGAGGCTGGGTCCCCTGGGAAGGCCTCTGCACCACAGCTGGACGTGCACATCACAAATCTTTCCAAGCCTTCCCAAAGGGACCTGATTATCCTGAAGAACAGGCATACTTGAGCAGGATTCCCTCTCTTCAGGGCCACCCATCAAGTCACACTGAGAAGACTTTGTTATGTCCTGCCTTCCCCACCTCCAGATGCTTGGACAGACACCTCCGTTGGACAGCACATTCCTGAGTGACTGGCCACAGCTCTGCCCACTTCTCCCTGGATACTAGGCTCGGGGGTGTGTGTGTGTGTGTGTGCGCACGCGCGTGTGCGTGTGTGTGTGAATCTATGCTTTACAGAGAACCGTCCAGACACACTCAGGAGGCACCGGAACGTAGTGGGCTCTGCAAGGAGTCTGTGTGTGGGGTGCATGTCCTGGGCCCTGGGAGTGGAAGCTGCTCTTAGAAGCCTGGACTGGGCGGGGCCGGAGACACAGCGACCGTACCCTTTGCGATACAGGATCGCAGCCCTCTTTGTCCCCTTCTCCAAGTCACCGGGGGGAGCACAAAGTCTTTCTCTGCCGGGCCAAGGTGGGTAGAGCGGGGTCAACAGTGCTCACTGGGTTTCCTGGGCCCTGGATTTCGGTGGAGGCTTCTCCTTGGCCTTACTCTCACGGGAGGGCGCAGGCCATGACCCAGGTCTTGGGGTAACAAACACATGGAGCAGAGCTCACAGCAAGGCCGGCTGCAGAGTCTTAGGTTACGGCGCGGGTTGGGGGCCTCGTGGCAGGCCTCCGGCTCTGTCCTCCCCATCGACAAAGAAATGCAGGCTCCAGCACGGCACATCCCCTTCAGGCCATGGAACCCAGAGCGGGGCACGGAAAGCATGTTTTGGGCACAGCGAACCCCCGGAACACGCGCGCAACCGCCGTGAGCCCCTTTCGGAGGTACTTCCCTTCTTTCAACTCTAGGAACATAAGTCTTTAATAGTTACAGCAAACCCTCGGGCCTAGTTCTACGCCCAAGATGGCCAGTTGAAAGAGGTTTTCTCGTGCTGATGTGGCTAGTTCCCATTCGCCAACTGCCTGCTGTGGTCAGACGCTCAGCTACTTTCCCGTTCTGCGCATGTTTCAGGCTGCTTGCACGCAGGCGCAGAGCGTCATTGCCTCTATGGTCTGCAAGTCTGATAGAGTGTCTCTCCACCTTCGCCAAGACTCTATGGTTCCTACGCGCGGAGATAGACGGCATATATAAGGCATGCGCAGGCGTGGGAGCGCCTCTTTCCCTTCAGCGTGGTGAGTAGTGGAGGTGTAACAGTCTTCCTGGGCCCTTACCATTTCCTTTTCTTGGTTCGTTACCTGGCTTCATTTTTTGTTCCGACTTTTTTGTGTTTCCTTGCAGCCAGTGAAGATCCTGGTGTCGCCATGGGCCGCCGCCCCGCCCGGTGGTGAGTGTTGAATACATGCTATTTCACTGCTGGGAAGAGGGATAACTGCATTTGGCTGCTGAAAGCAACCGTGGGGTGGGGCCTCGCTACTGTAGCTTTTCTATTTTGCAAACAGACTCTACGTGCTTTCCGGGCTGCTTTAGGTTTTCGTTTATGTAATGTGATTCTTTAACTTAAAACGTGATGACGTCCTTTAAGGGTCTCCACAATTTAGTTGGGGTGTTATTGACCCAGCATTGCATTTCTGAGCCAGTTTCAGGATCGAAGCGACGTCCTCCTTGCACCCCGCCCTTTGTCCTGAAAATTCGCCGCCTTTTCAGGCTCACTGCCCTCTGGGCCTTTGTGTGCTATCTCCGTCTTATTTCCGGGCTACGTGCCGTGTGGGCTCAGAATTTTTGTGTGGCCTGTAGGGGGCGCCGGGAGCCCTTCACGTGGCTCGGAGGCAAAATGCCGCGTGCCCAGAAGTCTAGGTGGATGTCGTGAACTGTACTGCTCTTTTTGCGGCAAATGTAGTATGCAGTGTATGGAAGTGAGGTGTTTGTTTTTCTTAACTGTTAGTAACATGGTTGTCCTCTAACTTTTGGCCACCTATTTGTGACTGTATCTTCCTTTAGAGCTATTTTTTTGAGTGACGTGTCACCGTACTCCCTCCCAGCCCTCCTTTGGTCTAAACTTAGAGGGAGCACTGGAAGTCCCTGTAGTCGAGTTCACTTGTAAATCCCTGAAAACCTGCCTTTCCCCCCCCACCCGCAGTTACCGGTATTGTAAGAACAAGCCGTACCCAAAGTCTCGCTTCTGCCGAGGTGTCCCTGGTAAGTTGCGGAGCAGCTCCCCAACTGGTTTGGCTGCACTGACTCAGTTGTCTGAGACACTCCACACACAACTTACCCAAGCTTTTTTCAGATGCCAAGATCCGCATCTTTGACCTGGGCCGGAAAAAGGCAAAAGTGGATGAGTTCCCACTCTGTGGCCACATGGTGTCAGATGAATATGAGCAGCTCTCTTCCGAAGGTGAGGTTCAGGATCCCTTGTTAATTGTGCCTATTTCTGTGTGCTCCCCCAGCCAAATCCAGAGCACGCTGTACTGGAATTACCAGCTCATTAATCATAAACACCCAATTGTGAGCCTCTTTTTGAAACCCAGACAGTAGAGATATCCCCTGAGAGCCAGGGAGGACCATGGTAAGTGCTTCTGTGCTGTCCTCATTCTGCTGCCTTTCTCCCACACCCTCTAGCCCTGGAGGCTGCCCGTATTTGCGCCAACAAGTACATGGTGAAAAGCTGTGGCAAAGATGGCTTTCACATCCGAGTGCGGCTCCACCCCTTCCACGTCATCCGCATCAACAAGATGTTGTCCTGTGCTGGAGCTGACAGGTGAGCTGGGTCCTGGGTGTTTTCCCCTAACTCAAGGGCCTCTGTGTTGGGCTTGATTATTGTATTAGGGCAAAGAGGCGGCCCCAAATAAAGACTTAACCACCCAGCAAAGCAAGGCAAATGGCTGGCAAGATTTTGGTGGACACTAATTTTTCCAGCAGTCCATAAGTGAATAGAACTGGCTCCGAGAAACAAACATTAGGGCATCAAGACTAAGTCTTTTAGCAGCCTCTGGGTGGCAGGTAGAGGAAGTAGGCTTGAACTTGATGACAGCCACCTGCCAGCAAGCCCAGTGGCACCTGGGTAGGGATTCTAGTTAGTCTGTTTTGTGGTTCACTGCAGCCAATTAAGCCGACCAAGCTCTTTTACCCGTGAGGGCCTGGTGTGCAATGTCTGCAGACAGTAGCATCCTTGGTAGTGTACGCAGCCTATTGCTAGTATGGGTTGCCTTAAGGGACCTTGGATACAGCCCTTTCTGGTGGACACTCCTGACCTCATGCTGTCCCCAATCTAGGCTCCAGACAGGTATGAGGGGTGCCTTTGGAAAGCCCCAAGGCACAGTGGCCAGGGTCCACATTGGCCAAGTCATTATGTCCATCCGCACCAAGCTGCAGAACAAGGAGCATGTAATTGAGGCCCTACGCAGAGCCAAGTTCAAGTTCCCTGGCCGCCAGAAGGTAAGTAGTGCTATGGCCTTGTTTCTCCCTTTACTTGCCCCAGTCTCCAAGTATCTTGATTCAGTTCTGTTTTTCCCCAGATCCACATCTCCAAGAAGTGGGGCTTTACTAAGTTTAATGCGGATGAATTTGAAGACATGGTGGCTGAAAAGCGGCTCATCCCAGATGGCTGTGGGGTCAAATACATCCCTAATCGTGGTCCCCTGGAAAAATGGCGGGCTCTGCACTCATGAGTCTCTGCTTCCACCTTAACACACACCAATAAATCCTACTTCCTGTCCATGTCTTTGCATCTAAATTCATGGGGGAAGGGGGAGCCTTGGGAACCCCAGGGTCACGGTCTTTTGTTTTCCAAAATAGACTGACAGTGTGTCAGAGCTGTGAACAAACAAACCCAGAACAGCAATGTAGTTGGGACATTGACTTTGGACCTGCCTGGATCAGAGGCTATAGGTTCAAAAGCCCACCCAGGCCATGGTTAGTCCTAATGCAAGTGCTACCTTTCTTAAATGCCCCTTCCCTGGGTGGTGAAAAAGGGGCTTGTGGCTTAAGGCTACCTTTCGGCTGCTATGGAATCTTTGCCCATGGGTCCCAAGCCAGCAGCAGCATGGAATGGGGAGAGCCAGAGGTATCGGCATGGTCACAGCCATGTTTAAACCAGCCCTCCAGGAGACCTTAGAGCAAATGCTGTGCAGCCCCAAACCATTAATTTGATTGTAACTTGCAGTTTATGGCTTTGTCTTGCTAAGGCTGTTTTTACTGAGCTCTGTTCCTGGAGAATAGAGTGCTTCTGAAGTTAGCTAGGTCCCTCATTTCCTTTTTGTGCAACTTCATTCCCTCTCACACTTGGTGTGTGACTGCTCTAACATCCCAAGGAAATCTGCTTGTTCCATTTGCTGACATGTATCAGGATACAGTAACCATTAACATGAGTGCTTCAGAAAACCACTAAAAGTTTAAAAATTTAGCAATTACCACTATTAACAGTTACCTGATACCTTGTTCATGCATTTGTGAATCTAGCCTTGGCAATGAGCCTCCCCGAGGCCATACCAGAGGAATGTGCCAACATGGACTGACTGCACCTCCTGGGCTGGACTATAGTCATTAGGGCTGTTTGTGGCTGTTTTCATTCGATGACAGCTGACCTTATGTGTTGGCCTTGGTTCGCTTGTATGTGAACCATTGACCCTTTTTTTTCCACAAGGATTTTGTTTTTTAGAGGGGAATGGGAGAGAAATACCAGTGTGGTAGATAAACACTGGTCATCTGCCCTGATTGGGAATCACCAGCGACTTTTTAAAAAATTTTATTCACCTTTTGAGTTAGGTGGAGGGAGGGAGGAAAGGAGAGAAACATGGACCAGTTGCCTCCCCCCCACAAGCCCCCAACCAGGGACCTGGCCGCACAACCCAGGTGTGTACTCAGACTGAGAATCAAGCCAGTGACCCTTAAGTTCGCAGGCTAAAGCTCAATCCACGGAGCCACACCAGCTAGGGCTCCATTCTTTTTACTGGGATCGTCATACTGATTATATGATTCCTATCTATAATAAACATGGCACATGATACATCTGCTACACACATCTAATATAGCTTTTTGTCCTCGGTGTGTACCTAAATTCCCTTTTTGTCATAATTTTTCATGGGTTGTGATTCCCTTTTCTGAGCCCCTTTCCCTTCCCCCAGCCCTGGAGCCTGCTTTGTCCCTATTCCTGACACTACTTGGGGGAAGAGCGCCACGGCTCCAGCCTCAGGGTCCTGCCTTTCTCTACCACATTCGAATGCCAGGCACAGGCTTAACCACAGGACACAAGCCAAACCAAACCAAAGGCAGAGGGCTGCAGTCAGTAAGGTAGCCCTGGAGATGGAGGAGGGCTGCAGTTCAAGCCCCTCGGGAATTGCTTTGGCTGCAAGGCAGATGAACAGGAGAGGCTGCGGTCTGAGTCCCGAAGCTAGTGTCATCACCACACCCGCGCGCAGCAGGCACTGACGTCGGGGTGAGGTTCAGGCCGTCAGGCCCAGCTTGAGGGCAGGAGGGGCTGCAGCACCAGCAGCAGGGATGGCAGCAACACAGCAGCCCGGCTGAGGGGCCGGATCTTGCGCGCTGCCCTGCTCAGCTCCACCTCCACAGGGTAGTGGTCACTGATGTTGAGGGCCTGGGGATGGACAAAGGGACAGAGTGTCAGGGCTGAGCGACTTCCCTGTGACTAATTCGTGCCTCAACCCTTTACCTGCTCCTCAGTGAGCTGGAACTTCCTGGGGAAGTTGAAGGCAGCTGCAGAGTGCAGTAGGCTCTGGCAGCGCTCTCCGTGCAGCACTATGCGGTCGTAGGCACAATGGGTGCTGGCCCGCACCGTGGTGTCCTCCTCGTCGCCAATTGCCCAGTAGAAGTCGGCCTGAGTCCGCAGCTCCAGCTCACCCAGGCGCTTTTTGGTCAGTGAAGCACAGTCAGCATTGAAGTCCCCAAGCAGGATTACGTCCTAGAGAGGGGGACAGCTGTCGGGCCTGGCCACCCTGCCACCCAGTTCCCCCCTCTATCATGCAATCTGCCCAGCCTTACCTTGCTCTGCCAGTGCTGGGAGACATCCAGAAACACATCGTACAGGGCTTTCAGCTCCTTTTCTACAGCCTTCGGAGTGGTGTGTAGTGGGACCAACACCAAGCTGGGAAGGACTGCAAGGCCCCAGGGATGGAGGGCTCCCACCCACTCCTGGCCCTTTCGCACAGCCTCCTCGGGGTAACCAAGCCCTCACTAGAGCAAGCCAGGCCCCCCCCTCCCTTCCCACTCCCACATAGCAGGGCCGCCCTCTCCTTCCTACCTGTGCTGGGAAAAGTGAACCGGGCCACAAAGGGCTCCCGGGCAAAGATGTCATCCTCGTCGTTGTACAAGTAGTAATCCTGGACCCGTGTCTTGTGTGACCTGGGGGACCAAGGGATGGGAAGCAGTGGCCCCACATTACCGACTTTGGTTTGCAAGTGCCAGCATCAGAGCTGGCGCTCAGGGAGGGGGCCACCCACCAGCAGCTTCATCTCATGGGGGCACAGCCTCCCTAGCCTTTTTCATAGAATTTTATTGAGACAAAATTTATATACCATAAAATTCCAGTGGCATTTAGTACATTCACAAGGTTATATAACCATCACCACAATCAATTTTAGAACATTCTTATCACTCCAAAAAGAAACTGTACCCATTAACAGTCACTTCCCATTCTCCTTCCCCTCAGCCCCTGGCAGCCAGTGATCTATTTTCTGCCTCTAGATTCACCTATTCTGGACATTTCATGTATGCATGAAATTGAATAATATTTGTTCTTCTGTATCTGGCTTCCTTCCCTTAGTATAGGTTTCCAAGGTTCACCCATGTTGCAGCATGGGTCAGTATTTCATTCCGTCTTGTGGCTGAATACTATTTCATTGCATAGGAAGACCACCTTTTATCCATGCATCAGCTGATGAACACTTGGGTCATTTCCACTTTGAGGAGTCATGAGTGATGCTGCTATGAGCATTCCTATGTGAACATTGTTCCCCCATTATTTTGGAGTGAATTCTAGTCATTCTATAATTTCGTCTATATGAAGAAATAGGTCTCCTTCCCAGACAGTCCCCCTTGCCCTCTCGATCCCGACTCCAAAGGACTCCCCCTGGGATGTCCTCCCAGGATCGTAGGGCTTTTTCTAGAAACCATATCCATCCAAGGCCCATGATGAGCCCTGGTTAAGCCTCTTCCCAGAAGTTGCAGCCGGCCACTCCCAAGCAGGCCCAGACATGCCCTGAGCGCCAGTGGCTTCCACAGGAGAGAGGCAGAGAGACCCAACATCTGTGTGTGGAGAAGGCCTGGTGTAGGAACGTGTAAACACCAAAGCTGGCAAGGGAAGAGGAGAGGCAGATCCCAGAATAAAATGGTTGAGAAAAAAAGTGTGATGAGAAGGTGAGGGCTGCCCCAGGAAGAAGGGGCTTGTCGCCCTCACAGCTACTCAGCCATCTCACGGTGGGCCAAGCACCAAGTGTGCCCTGGCCGCCATGTGTACTTACCGGTAGATGTACACGTACTTCTCCACGTATGTGCTGCGCCCCAGAGCGGGGCTGCTCAGGACTTCGTAGGGCCCAGAGCCATCATATCTGCCAGGAGATGGGAGGCCAGGGTCAGGGGCCCTGCGGCTCAAGGGGACCCCACATGAGACCCACAGAGCCCGGCTCACCGGTTGAGTTCTCGAAGCAGTAAGAAGATGGCACCATCAGAAGAGTCGACTACCTCCTGCAGCACCATGATGTCACAGCGAGCCAGGATCTGCAGGACACCGGGAAGGCCAGCCCCACTCAGCACCAGCTGCCCCAGCCGGGGAGTGAGGTCCTGGCACTGGCCCCTGACATGGGCAAGAGTGTCATGGTGTGCTGGCTGTGGCCCAGAGAGAGCAGTGGGACTAGAAAATCCCTGGGAGAAAACGGAGTGCCATCCCCACCCGCGTTACACCCGTTTTACAGGGGAAGAGACTCAGGTCAATGGCACAGAAAGGATTTGCTCAACGTCTCTGCACCCACGTCCCTTCTTTTCTGGGCCGTGCTCCGGGCCGGGCAGGGCTGGGGGCTTTGTCTTGTGGTCTTCAGGAGTGCAGCTTCCCTGCAATTATGAACCTACCCGAACTAAGGTGTCCAGCACATGCTCCCTGGCCACCTTGGCAAGTGTCAGCCGCTGGGCGTTGAAGGCACAGATGCGAAAGGCCTCAACCCCACCAACCAGGAGCAGGAGCACAGCTGGGCAGCGCATGGTTGTGTTCGGGCTACTGGGACCCTCTGGAGGAATCCAGGTTGCCTCAGGATGTAGTCCTAGCTGGGCTTGGTTCTGGTTTCAGAAGGACATGGTGTTATGGACAGAGAAAGTGATGCTCATCCTGCTGCCCAACATCAGCCCCCCAGAGCTGCCAGCGCCACAGATTTCCCGCCTATTCTCCCCATGCACACCTTCTGACATTGGCATATGGCTTGACCTCATTCTTTTAATTGTACTAAAATATACATAGCATAGAATTTAACATCTTAACCATTTTTAAACGTACAGTTTAGCGTCGCTAAATACATTCATATTATTGTGCAACCATCACCACCATCCATCCCCAGAACTTTTTCATCTTCCCAAACTGAAACTCTGTCCACATTAAACACTAACCCCACCCCCCATCCCCTCTCCATAGTCCCTGGCACCAACCACCCTACTTTCTGTCTCTGTGAGTTTGACTACTCCCAGGACCTCATAGAATGAAATGATATACTATTCGTCCTTTCGTGTCTGGCTTATTTCACTTAGCATAATGTCCTTAAGGTTCATCTGTGTTGTAGAGTGTCAAAATTTCCTTCCTTTCTCTTTTTAAAAAATTGAATTTATTGGGGTGACATTGGTTCAAAATTTCCTTCCTTTTTAAGGCTGAATACTATTCCACTGTAGAGGTAACCACATTTCGTTCATCCATTCATTTGTGAATAGACACTTGGATTGCTTCCACCTTTTGGCTACTGCGAGTAATGCTGCTTATGAACATGATTGTACAAATATCTCTTCAAGTTCCTCCTTTCATTTCTTTTTGGTATATATCCATACGTGGAATTGCTGAGCCACATAGTAATCCTATGATTAATTTATTGAAGAACCGCCATACTATTTTCCATAGCAGCTATTCTAACTTACCTCCCCACCAGTAGTGCACAAGGGTTCAACCTCAGGGTTGATCCCAGCTTTTCACCACCATTAGTAACTAGGAGGACCATCTTCACAAATCTCTCTCTCTCTGCTTGTGAGATGTTATCTTTAAGACAAACTCCCTGCAGTACAATTGCTGGGTTCAAGGGCATATGCATTAAAAATTGCCTCTGATACCCTGCTGTAGTATGTGACGGGCCCCTTCCCCGTGCCCCACCGCCACTGCTGCGGCCTTCCTGCTCATCTTACCAGCTAAAGACGCCCCCACCCCCACCTGCGCTTCCGGAGAGTCTCTCTTGGTTTATTCTTGTCTCAGACTCATCCAGACTTTGCTCTTCTGGGCTCAGCAACTTGATACACCCTGTTTATGTGGCTCTCATTCAGTAATAGCATAAGTCCTTCGACTTCTGTCTGCCTGCTCTTCTCGTCATCTTGTCACCTTCCCCCTGGGGCTCACTTTCCACCTCTCTCACACTCTGCCTCTGTCTTCCTTGGCCTCTCTTCTCTGATCACCTTTCATGGCTTCCCTGCACTTCTTCACTCTCCTGGCCAGCTCGATGCCTGTTTCTCCCCCATCACCTGTTCTGTCACTCATGTCAGTTTGAGTCACCAGCCCTGGTGCCTATGATGGGATGTATGTGGGCGTTTAGGCATCCCTGGGCTGTCAAGGCAGGCTTGGAGGTTCTAGGACCAGGGGCCCCCAGGAGGGTGGAGGACAAGAAGAACCGAAGTCCAGCTTGGGCTTCCAACACCAGGCCTTCCTTGGCCCTAGTCCTAGGGTTCCCTTCCCCTCTTACTACCTCCCCCCACCACCTCCGGAGTGGGAGACAACTTCCACCCTCCCTCTGCCCAGGGGGTTTCCATACCTGCACAGACCAGCTTTTCTGCACACCTGCCTCAACTGCAAGCGTATCGAGACACCCCACGGGATCACAGCGCCGGCCTAGCAGGGATCGAAGAGGAGAAAGAGGAACAGGCTGTCTAACAGCCCCACCCGTCCGGGCCAGGCCGGCCAACCTAAACTTCCACACAAGCAGGACCGGTCCCGGCTCCGCCCCAGCGCTTGGATTTGGCAGGCAGTTTGCCTGCAACAGCAGGCACCTACCCGCCCACTTTCCCTTCAGACCCCGCCTTATCCCCCGCCCCCGGCCTGCGTGAGACCCAGCAGGGGCGGAGGCCCGGGGCCGCAGGCAGATGACAGACCTGTGAGTAACAAAGATCGAGCGGCAGCAGCCCAATAATGAGTGGTCGCTTGTGCAAAGGGTGTGCGGCGAGGAGGAGCTGGCGCCGGAGTGCAAACCCCGAGCTTCATTCTCCCAGACCTGGCGTTCAGCCCCCGCTCTGGGACTCCCTCCAGGCAGCATTTGGTGAGGGAAGACGCAAAATCTGCAGCTCATGTTCTACGTAGGGGAGTCCCGCGGAGAGCCTGGGCACCCCTGAGGACAAGAGCCTTCTCTCCAAGTTCTCGGGCCGGGCCCCAGTGGGGCTGCACACTCCCTGAGCTCTCCAGAGACCCAAAGTGAGCGACGGTTGGCGCAGGAACTGGCCGCGGTGCTGGACATCAAGGGTACACTGAGGAACTGTCCCTGAGAGAGGTGGATTAGAGAGCTGACAGCTCAGTATCGCGTGGTGTCCGGCACTCTCGCTGTTGGGACAACTGGGGGGCTCCGCGAGGTCTGAGGGTGGGAGGTGAGTCCTCACTGGATGATTGTAGAGCGGCCATTGTCGCCGTTGCCAGTGAGCAGGTTGAAAAAAAATTTTAAATCGATAGAATTATAATTTAAAATAAAAAAATAGTTTTCTTGAGGGGTACGGGGCTTTCTTTTGGGGGTGATGGACATGTTTTGGATCTAGAGGCGGTGGTTGACAATATCGCAATGTATTAAATGATATAAAATTCTGTAATACACACTATGTACATATTACTATATATTATATCACATAATACATATCATACACGAACATATAGTACAATTCTATAACATTGTAATTATGTAAAATTACATAATTTATAACATAACGTATATATTATATACATAAAATATATAATTTAAATGCTATAAAATACTATTAAATGGTTAATTCTGTTATATAAATTTTACTTAAATAAAAATAATGAGGAGAAAACTAAAGTAAAAGTGCTTCGCCAGCCCCGACTTTGAGTAGTGTCAGGTAATCCTGCTACGCAACCCACATTACCTACGGAGATTTTTCTGGGGACGGATTGACACAAAAGGGACGCTCAGCTGACGGGCGGCCTCGAACTGAGACTGCGCTGCGGCCGGGCGGGGTTAGGGTTAGGACTTCCCCCGCTGCCGTCAAGCGGCCCGAGCGCGTTTTGCGACAGGCGGCCGAAGAACGTGTGGCCTTTGCAGGCTCGCTTTTCCGCGGGTGGCTGCGTGAGGCGCGCGCCTGCCGGCGCCAGTTCCTCTTGTTCTTCACTGCGATCCCCGGCTCCTGATCACGGTGGCGGCTCGTCTGTGGCGAGAGAGCGGGGCCGGGCCGGGCTCTGGCCTGCCCCGCAAGGTGACCTTGGTCGAGTCCCCTGTCGCGCCGACCCGCGGCGTGTGTTTTTGGCGCGGACCTGTTAGGGACTGGGCTCTGGAGCGGTTGAGGATACAGACCTAGAGCGGCCCCACAGGCTGCCCCGTGTCAGGGGAACGGCCAGGCCGCCGGGGGCGGTAGGGAGGAGATGCCCCTGCATGTAAAATGGCCATTCCCCGCGGTGCCGCGGGTCACCTGGACCCTGGCCAGCAGCGTCGTCATGGGCTTGGTGGGCACCTACAGCTGCTTCTGGACCAGTGAGTGGGCTTGGCTGGGGGAAGCCCTGGGCCCCAGAGGAGAAGAAGGTCAAGACCCCCACACCACACTGTTTCTCTCCCCCCAGAGTACATGAACCATCTCACCGTCCACAACAAGGAGGTGCTGTATGAGCTCATCGAGAACCGAGGCCCAGCCACCCCCCTCATCACTGTCTCCAATCACCAGTCCTGCATGGATGACCCTCATCTCTGGGGTACACCTACCAGTGTGCTGGGCACAGGGAGGCAGGGAGAACCCCAGAAAGAGCCAAACAAAAGCAGAACAAACTCACTTCTCATTGGGTTCTTCACATAGCTCTGGCTCCACTGTTTATGGGGTGTCCTGCCCTAATGGTGAAAGTTTGACTTGTGACCCCTTGAGCGTCCCCTCAAGGAAGGTGATTTGGAGAGAGCCTCAGAAATTTGGAGCGAATGAGGAAGTGAGGAATTGGCCACAGGGCGAGGTCTGACAGTTTTCTCTGTTGCAGCAGGCCTGTGGAACCCTTCATTCTCTAAGTTATTGAAGGTCCCACAGAGTCTTGGAGTCTTGGGAACAAATCTGAGGACCTGTCAAGGAAACTCTGGGCGAGGGGCTGGGAGACCTGTATCCCGTTTCCAGGTTTGCCCCAGGCTGGGTTTGTACCCCTCAATCAATCAACCTTATTTGGGAGCCTGGCTTCCCACCTAGAAGTTCCTGCTCTACTGACTTCACAGAAATGTTTTGCTTCAGTAATCTGGATGGCTGGGTAGAAGGGTGTCCAGAGGTTTCACTGCTGAACGCGGGAGGTTAGACTACATGGGGAACCACCATTGTCTAATGAGAGCCTTTCAGAGCTCACCCTGGTTGCCGGGTAGTGGATGGTCTGTGGGGTACCACGGGCAGATCCCAGGAGGCCAGGAAGGAGGCCATAGATTTTAGCAGAGGTGTCCAACCTTTGGGCCTCTCTGTACCACACTGGGAGAAGAGTTGTCTTGGGCCACATATTAAATATATTGTGACACGTAATCACAAAAAAATATATCATAATGTTTTAAGTAATTTATGATTTTGTGTTGGGCCGCATTCACAGCGATCCTGGGCTGCATGCAGCCTGCGGTCCGCCGGTTGGACACCCCTGCTTATAGTATTCCCTATTCCCGTAGCCTGAACCAGGGTGGTGACAATGAAACTGGAGAGAGAGATATAGAAGAGTAGACAGCATCAAAATATACTGGGGAGGCAGGCCGACCAGGCATGGTTACTAATGAGGTATGGGGAGTGGAAGAGAGTGAAGAGCCCGCAAAAACTTGGGAGTCCAGCCCAAGGATCTAGAAGATGCCACTGTGGGCCCCAGGGAAATGGTAGTGCTGCTGCCCTTGTTCTTCAATTCCTGAAATGGTGTGGCCAGAAAGTGGTGCCTCCTGGAAACAGGGTAAGTTGGGGCATGACACCTTTCCTCTCCTTCTCTAGGGATCCTGAAACTTCGCCACATCTGGAACCTGAAGTTGATGCGTTGGTGAGGAGGAATGGGCCCCTCCCGAAGGGCGCGGCAGGCCTCACCCGTCTCTGCCCAGATTTGCCCTCCTCCTGCTCTGCCCAGGAGGCGGCGGCCAGCAGTCCAGGCAGGGCAGGGGGTGGGACCCCACAGGTCCTCTTGTACCTCTATCCCACATTGCTGATGATGTCAGCCATCACGCTCGGAGGGCGGTTGGGAAGCAAGGTGCAGGAGAGGCAGGGATGACTGCATCTGTCCCCACTCCAGGACCCCCGCAGCTGCAGACATCTGTTTCACTAAGGAGCTGCACTCTCACTTTTTCAGCTTGGGCAAGTGCGTGCCGGTATGCCGAGGTGAGCTGCTTCCCCGGGAGGGGCTGTTGGGCCAGTGGATGCAGGGAGGCACTTCTGCAGGCTTCTCTGGCCTCCCATGGTGGTTGGTGCTTCTGGCTTGGCAGCACCGGGAGCGGAGGGACCCAGGTGGGACAGGCAGCCTGGGAGCAAGGGGAGCCAGGGAGTGCTGCCCCGCTAGCGTGAGGCATAGCTCCATTGCTGGAGGAGCGATGGTTTCTTGGAGAGTGCTCTGTTCTCTGCAACTGCCTGTGTATTGTACAGATCTGGAGCTCTGGCATTAGAAGTCAAGGAGGTATTATCCAGAGCCCCTTCTCTTGAGGACACTGCTAACTCACTGGTGGCCGTGTGGCCATGATGGAAGTGGCATGTGCCATAGGCTGCAGGGCTTGGGAGAACAAACGTGCTTACGTATGGAGTATGTATAACATTGAATGACTACTCAACACCTCTCAAGAGCCTCAGGAGGTAGGGGCCATTTTTGGTTCCCATTCTCTACCTAAAGGGACTTGGAGGGATGAAGCCGATGGCCCAAGGTCACCATGGGAGAGGTAGCAAAGCCGGGATTCAAATCCAGGCTGCTCTTTCCTCTGGGGAAGTAGCATTTTTCCAGGCAGAGTATGAAAGGAAAAGCATTCTACACAGGAAGCATTGGCCAGGCACTGGACAGGTAATTGATAAAGGTAGAAAATGCAGGTTGCAGGCCGAAGGGGCTGGAATAATCATGTAAAGAATATTGGAATCTGTTCTCTCATCAAGGCAGTGATGTGCTCTATCCCTGGTTCAGAGAGAGAGCGCCCTGGTTGTAGAGTGGCTGGTGGATGGGAACAGGGCCAGGTGGAGGCGGGGGGGCCTGGCCAGGGGCTGTCACAACAGTTCTGGCAGCAGAGGGTCGTAGCTGGGCCTCTGGGAGTCACTGCGGAAGGGGACTGCTTTGGGATGGGCCCTGGAGGCAGAGTTGACAGAACTTGTTGATAGATTGGGTGTGGGAAGGGGCAAAGAAAAGAGAACTCAAAGATGACACTAGGCGATATCTGGTGATACTAAACCACTTGGAGATGGGATGAGAGGGTTAGGAGAGGAGGTGAGACCTGTTTTGCGTGTAATTCATCTGAGGAGCCTGTCGTCCAAGGAGGGGACCAGTTCCAGAGGCAGGGGGGTATGCAGTTCTGGAACTCAAAAGAATGGTTGGGAATAAAGATACTAGGGACTCAGCCAGAAACGAAGTCACAGACATAGAGGTGAGATTGCAGAGGGTTAGAGCAGGGACCCAGGATGGCACCTCAGAGCACAGAAGGACAGACAAGTCACCAAGGAAGCAGGAAGCAATGGCCAGAGAGAAAGGAAGCAAAGCCCCAGGGCCCTCTGGGAGCTGGAGAGGGGAGGAGGAAGGGGGCAGCAGGGATGGCCACTCCTCCCAGAGGTTGGTTGTGGGGAAGAGAGAGGAAGAAGTAACCAAAGGGTGTTGGAGGTGTCAAGGGGAAGTTTGTTGTTGTTGTTTTTATTTCTAGTCGGTCAAGGTAAAACATGGTAAAATCTAATAAAATAATCTCAAATAAATGAAAAGCTACCGCACTCATGCCTCCAAATCCTCAGACGACTCCCCAGAGACAGTGGCCTAGAATGCTTTCTTTTTCTGTTGCTTCTGGAGGCTCCTTCATTTCTTTAAAGCACAAGCAGAGACTACAGTGGCATGACCATGGAGTTGTTTCTCATGCCCTGTTCTGAGAGATGGGGATTCTGCTCATACATCCCCGTCCCTGAGCCTCGGTTCCTCCCTTCTGCAACCCCAGACAGAGTCATCCCATGTCCACTTCTTATATCATTCTTCTTTTTGACCTGCATCTAAGATTTATTGCACAATTAAAAACAATGCAAAATCTTCATCTTAAACAGTTTCAGTGAGAGAAAGTGAGCAGGGGCAAGCCTTTTATCAGATGAATTTGATGGACAGCAAAGGCCTAACGTATTGAAGCAAAGGAAGTATCTGGCATACTTTGCTTCCGCGCTCCAAAAAAATTCCTCCCCCCCGCCCCAAGCATAGGCTTTGTGATTGACATGAAGTATCGGGGTGATCTTGCACAGGCTCTACAAGTGAGCAGAAAGAGCATTTGCAAAAGCTAGACGTTATGAAGTGTTGCTCCGAAAGCATAGCATTATTTTAAAACTTCCATTTCAAGCTGGATGGTTTGGTTGCACCAGTGGGTTTTGGTAGAGAGGAGCTGATACCTCTGAAGCCCGCCTCTCCCAGGTAACGCAGTCCCAAGAAGGGAAACCACCATTCTCACCCTGCTCCCCAGCTCCAGCCCCTGAGGAAGCTGCTGGGCCAGGTCCCCATTTGGGTTAGATTGAGACTCCTGGAGCCTTAAGTAGCACCTTCCAAAGACCCAGACTTGCAGAGAACAGATTAAAAGTCCATTTCTCAGCGTATTGGCCCGAGACAGTGCCAGCGTGGGACCTTTGCCCCTGTGACGCAGCTCTCATCTATTCCCTACTTGCTAAGATGTTTACTCCTACTCTGCCCGGCTCCTTCAATCCCCCCCTTCTCTATCCATTGTGTGGACAAGGTTGATGAGATTATTACTGTGTGTGGTCATGAACTGTCTCCACATGGCTCCAAGTTGAAAGCCAGCATGCCGCGTTAGGCATTGATGTCTGTGTCCTTGCTGACCTCTGAGCCGCCTGAGTTCAGTGTCTGGGTCTCAGGGCATCTCCAAGGCGTGTGTTGCTAGCATTGGGGGCAGCTCAACTCCAGTTTTTTCAGTCTAGCAAGTTTGAGCTTTTCCTGACTCTCAATACCATATGTTCCATCAGATGGAGAGTGTAGTTTTCAAAGGGAGCCCTGTGACTAAGGGGCCAGAAGGAGGGAGGGATGGAGGAGGCTGAGGGTGCAGGCAGGGCTGGGGGGCCTGTGAGGACTGGCTGCAGGAACTGGCCTGGCTGAGCCACTGAGAAAGGGTTGCTATCCAGAATCTGTGGCCCAAGTGAGGCTGGAAGTCATGAATAGACTTGGTTTGCTCCAGCAGCAGCCTCGGGGCCAGCGGCAGCAGATTTAGGCTTGCCCCAGGGTGGCTCATCCCAAGGAGAAAGAAGGCTCCAAGAGCCTGGCTGGGGACGGAGGGAGGGTATAGAGGGCGGTGTGTGGGTTGGGGGTTTGCCAGGGGCTGTACTGCAGGTGTATGCCTGTGGCTGAATGGCTCAGTGGGTGAGGCTATGGTGGGACCCACAGGCAAAAGATGGGGTTGGGCTGTGGCTGGGTAGGCCAGTTGGTTAGAGCATCATCCTGATACACTAAGGTTGCAGGTTTGATCCCTGGTCAGGGCACATACAAGAAACAACCAATGAACACATAAATAAGTGGAACAACAAATCTCCCTCCCTCTCTCCCTCTCTCTAATATCAATAAATTTTAAAAAAAAAGGATTTTTAAAAAAGGTGAGATTGGTGGTCAGTGGAGGAATTGTCAAGTTCAGAATTTTAGTCTGAGATGACGCTGCCTTGCAAGGGACAGGCACTTAGAGGATATTACTGAGCAAAGAATGTCAAGGGCTACAAAGTGGTACAGCTGGGGCTGAGCTGGCTCAGGGGAGACGGTCATTGGAAGCTGTCTGTGGACGGTGCAATGGGGAGGGGGAAGAGGCAGTTCCTGGGCTGCTGCTTTATTCTGAAGGAGAGGGAAGCGGGGGACCCCAGGAGAATGGGGGCTGATGGGGAGATTCCTTTTCTTGGCAGGAGATGGTGTTTACCAGAAGGGAATGGACTTTATTTTGGAGAAGCTCAACCACGGGGACTGGGTGCACATCTTCCCAGAAGGTCAGTGAGGCCGGTAGGGTCACAAAGCCCCCAAGAATATGGGCGAGACTCCCCACACCGTCCAAAGCCTCACTTCTGTCTCCCCCCACCCAGGAAAAGTGAACATGAGCTCCGAGTTCCTGCGCTTCAAGTGGGGTAAGGGCCTCTGGTCCTCTCTGGCTCGGTTGGACCATGGTATATGGCAGCAGCAGCAAGGGGACAAATGCCAAGACAAGGGCTGGCCCAAGAGACAGGGGAGCTGGTTTTAACTAGGGGAGGGCAGCCGGCCCCCGCTGGAGGCTGGCACTGGAGTTGCGCTTGCACCAACGTTTCTGCCTCTCCGTGGAGCAGGAATCGGGCGCCTGATTGCCGAGTGTCGTCTCAACCCCATCATCCTGCCGCTGTGGCATGTCGGTAAGCCTCCCTCTCGGGGTGAGCCTGCAGCCTGGGGTTGGACGCAGGGAGAGGGGCTTCCCTAGGTGGTGTTTGGGGCGGTTTGCACAGGGTGGCAGAGAGAGGGAGCCCGGGGTCGGGGGCCGGGGCTGTCGCGCTCCACCCTGTGCCTGCTTCCCAGCCTTCCGTTAACTGTGCTGCAGGAATGAACGACGTCCTTCCTAACAACCCGCCGTACTTCCCCCGCTTTGGTCAGGTAGGTAGAGGCTGCTGCCCTTCGCCTGCCTGCCTGCCTGCCTGCCATCTGCCTTTTGTCTCCCGCTCAGCATTACTGAGGCCAGATTCAGGAGCAGCTGAGCTTGAGGCTGTGGCAGAGGGACCAAGTGGAACACTGAGAGGGCCTTCCTGGCACCAAGCCCTGTAGGAGGAGAGCGAAGGAAATCAGGCCTTGGCAGGGGTGGTCCCTGGGGTTAGGACAGGACAGGACATCTAGAGCATGAACCCTAGGACCAGGATGGCCCTTGGGTACCATTAAGCCTCATTCTAAAGAGGGAGAGTGGCCAGAGGGAGCACCTAGCAAGCCAGGGGCAGGACTCGGCCTCTGGCTCCCTGGGGCGATGGGGCTGGGGCTGTGGGCACTCGCCCTGTTCCTGTCATCTGGTGGCCGGTTTCCCCTGCAGAAAATCACCGTGCTGATAGGGAAGCCCTTCAGTGTCCTGCCTGTGCTGGAGCGGCTCCGGGCAGAGAATAAGTCCACCGTGAGTTTCCCCAGGATGTCCCCTGGCTGTCCTTGGCCCCTCCCAGCACCCTTGGCTCCCCAGGGCCCCTGGGTGAAGCTCCTTGAGGGCTGCAGGTCAGCCCCAGTCCTTCCCCTCAGGTGGAGATGCGCAAAGCCCTGACTGACTTCATTCAGGAGGAATTCCAGCGCCTGAAGACCCAGGCCGAGCAGCTCCACAACCACCTGCAGCCTGGGAGATAGGCACCGCCCTGCCCAGACCCTGCCCTGGCTGCCTCATGGTCCTGTGACACGCGCCCCTGAAGCCTGGCGAAGAGGCAGCTCTGGGGCCCAGTCCGAGCTGCCAGGCTCCCAGCACCGCCTTTCGGTTCTTGCCCCTGCACACAGCTAGGGCTGGGAAATGGACTGATGCTTTGAGGTCAGATAGGGTTTTTTAGACAGATTTCTTCATAACCCTTAAAGGGTACCCTCTCCTGGTTAGTGGGCATTCCAGCTCCTCTGTGGTTCTTCAGTTGAAGGAAGGATCACAGCTGCTCCTCGCTCTCGGCCACAAAGGGAGGAGGAAGTTTAGGCAGTGGCCTCCTTCCTTCTTGTGTTCTCTCCCAGGGCTGGCATCTGGAGGGAGGGTAGTTGAAGTGAGGTGGATGACTAGGCTGGAGCTTGGGGAGGGTCCCATCAGGCTGTTGGCCTGGAGCTATTCACCGCCTCATCAGGGATGGTCTTAGGCCACCGCTTCCTTCTGCCTGAGCTTCCCACAGGCCTTGGGAGCCTCAGGCAGAGCCCGGCCCTGGGCTGCAGGCAAAACGCAGCCCTTTGCCAGAGTGGAGCCTGCAGCAGCGAGGGCCTGAGACCTGGTCACTCCTCCCATGCTGGGGCCCATCAACTTCTCTGTCATTTCTGTGTCCCTGGCATCACTCCAGGGGTTGGGTTTCCATGTTTTGTAAACAGTAAAGCATCTGTGTTGTGCTCTTTTACCTCTGGCCTCTCTGTACTGGTGGGGATGGGTGGGGATGGGAGGTAGCACGCTGGACAGGGAGGCTGGGCCCTTACAGCCCTGGGCGCATTCAGAGCACCTGAGCAGAAGGGTGTAGAGCTCTCGGTGTGCACCAGTCACTAACTTCAGTCATTGTCAGTAATCCTCGTATCAGCCTTGTGAAAGTAGGGATTCATCTCATTTTGCAAAGGAGGCAAAGCAAGGCTAAGAGACTTGTTTCAAAACCTAAAACTAGCAAAAAGTAGGGAGAAGCAAGCAGTAGTTCAGGAGGTGGGGGGAGAGGGGCATATAAGGGGGATAAATAGTAATGGGAAAAAATACAGTGATAAAAAGGTAGCAGTTCAATCTTCCCTCCGCCATTGCTTTCCAAGAGGAAGGAGGTGTCTGAAGGGCCCCACGAGCCTCTAAGGGCGACATGCTGTGGTGAGAAGCGGTAAGGGGAACACCTAGATTGAGTTTGGGACCCTGGATGGTGGCACTCCTGGCACAAACAGAAAGTAAATCCTCTCTAGACGAAAGCAAGCTCAGTTTAGGGCTCCAGTTAATCCAAGGTAAAGATTAACCAAAAAGACCTCACAAAGATCACCAAACAAGGAAATGAAGCCCCATACTTGGGTCAGCAGGAACAAAACCTGTTGGCCCCGGCTGGTGTGGCTCAGCGGATGGAGTGTTGGCCTGCAAGCCCAAAGGTGGCCAGTTCAATTCCCAGTCAGGGCACATGCCTGGGTTGCAGGCCAGGTCCCCAGTTGGGGAGGCAACCGATTGATGTTTCTTTCCCTGTCTCTAAAAATAAATAAATAAAATCTAAAAAGAAATTAAAAAAGAAGAACAGTTTGAAACCCTGTTCAATTGACAGTGTCAGGCAGACTATGAAAAATACTATAATAGAAATCTGGAAAGAAAGAAGAGAGAAGATTCAAAGATCAGAACTGCAACTGTGGCCCTAGCTAGTATGGCTCAGTGGATTGAGCGCCGGCCTACAAACCAAAGGGTCACTAGTTTGATTCCCAGTGTAGGTAGGGCACATACCTGGGTTGCTGACTAAGTACTCAGCAGGGAGTCCACGAAATGCAACCACACATTGATGTTTCCCTCTCTTTCACCTTCCCTTCCCCTCTAAAAATAAAGTCTTTTTTTTTTTAAAGACTTCATTTATTTTTATTGAACCAGCGACCCCTTGATTTCGCAGGCCAGCACTCACTCCACTGAACCACATCAGCCAGGGTTCAGCTACATTTCTATGCATACACCAGCAACAAAGAATTAGAAAATATAATTTAAAGCAAGACGCTATTTACAAAAGCTACAAGGTACCTAGGAATCAATCTAACAAAATATATGAAAGAACTATATAAAGAAAATCATAACACTTTACTGAAAGACATTAAAGAAGAACTAAGTGAATGGAGAAAGATCCCACAATCATGAACAGGAAGACCTGATATAGTAAAGGTGTCAGTTCTCCAGAATTGATATATAGACTGAATGTAATTTTAACCAAAAGCTAATCAAGGTTCAAACAGAGATTTGTACACCAGTGTTCACAACAGCATTACTCACGGTAGCCAAAAGGCAGAAACACCTTGTGTCCATTGACAGAGTAACAAAATGTGGTCTTACAAATGGAATATTATTCAACCATAAAAAGAAATTGACACATACTACAATATGGATGTACTTTGAATATATTATGCTAAGTGAAGTAAGCCAGACACAAAAAGCCACATATTGAATAATTACAGTTGTATGAGGTCCCTAGAGTAGTCAAATTCATAGAGACAGAAAGCAGGATAGTGGTTGCCAGGGCCTGAGGGAAGGGGAGCAATGGGTAGTTAGTGTTTACTGGGGACAGAGCTTTAGTTTGGGATGACAGTGTTCTAGAGATGGATGTAGTTGCACAACAGTGTGAATGTACTTAATGTCAGTGAACTGTACACTTAAAAAAGGATAAAATGGGGGCCCTGGCTGGCTAGTTCATTGGTTAGAGTGTCATCCCCATACGCCAAGGTTGCAGGTTCTATCCTGGGTCAGGGCACATACAAGAATCAACCAATGAATGCATAAATAACAGGAACAACAAATCGATGTTCTTTTCTCCCTCCCTTCCTCTCTAAAATAATTTTTTTAAATATATACATTGATAAATTTTGTATTATGGATATCTTTCTACGATATAAAATTTTAAAGTGAAAAATGACTCAAATGCTTTGGCCCTGGCCAGGTACCTCGGTTGGCGCATCATCCCGATACACCAAGGCTGTGAGTTTGATCCCCAGTCAGAGCACATACAAGAGGCAACAAATGAATGTATAAATAAGTGAAACAGCAAATCGATGTTTCTTTCTCTTTCCCTCTCTCTCTAAAATAAATAAATAAATAAAAATTTAAAAAGGACTAAAATGGCCCTGACTGGTGTGACTCGGTTGGCTGGGTGTCGTCCCGCAAGGTGAGGGGTCACCAGTTCAATTCCTGCTTGGGGCACATGTCTGGGTTGCGGGTTTGGCCCCCAACTGGGGTGTGTGCAGGAGGCAGCCAACTGATGTTTCTCTCTCACATTGGTGTTTCTTTCCTTCTCTCTCTCTCCCTTCCACTCTCCAAAAATAGGTAAACAAAGTCTTTTAAAAAATGACTATAATGATATATTTTATGTTGTGTTTATTTTACCACAATTTCAAATAATTCAATCAGGCTCTTAAAAATAATCTGATCGATTTAATAAGCTGATTCTAAAAGTTACATGGAAACACCATAGCTCAAGAAGAGTCTCTCTCTTTTTTTAAAGATTTTGTTTATTCATTTTTAGAGAAAGGGGAAGGGAGGGAGAAAGAGAGGGAGAGAAACAGCAATGTGTGGTTGCCTCTCACGCACCCCCTACTGGGGACCTGGCCTGTAACCCAGGCATGTGCCCTGACTGAGAATCAAACCGGTGACCCTTTGTTTCGCAGGCCGGCGCTCAATCCACTGAGCCACACCAGCCAGGGCCAGAAGAGTCTTTTTTTAAAAAAATTATTTTTATTGTATTTTTTTACATTACCATTTATTCCCCCTTATAGCCTCCTCCCTCCTCTCTACCTGCAATCACCACACGAAGAGCCTCTTGAAAAAGAAGAACAAGGTGGGAGGATTTGCCTTACCGGGTATTGAGGTTTATTATGAAGCTATAGTAATTAGGATGGTATGGTATTAGAAGGACAAATTGACAAGCGGAATGGAATGGAAACCCCAAAAAATGACCCACAGCTATATGAACACTTGTTATTCAACAAAAGCATTATTTCAAGACAGTAGGTAAAGGATGTTCATCTCCATAAACTGTACTGAGACAACTGCAGATCTCTATGAAAAAACAAAACAAAAAAACAACAAACTTGACTGCTACCTTACACCATACATAAAAGTTTGAAAAACAAGACAACATTTAGAAGATAATATAGAATAATATCTCCATAATCTTGGGGACAGGAAAAGGTTTCCTAAATAGGACATAAAAATATTAACCATAAAGAAAAAAATGGGCCCTGGCTGGTGTGGCTCAGTGGATTGAGTGTTGACCTGCGAACCAAAGGGTCGCAGGTTTGATTCTCAGTCAGGGCGCATGCCTGGGTTGCTGACCAGGTCTCCAGTAGGGGGCACACGAGAGGCAACCACATACTGATGTTTCTCTTCCTTTCTCTCTCTCTTCCCCTCTCTAAAAATAAATAAACAAAATAGAAAAAAATGGTAAATTTTACTACATTAAAATTAACAAGTTCTGCCCTGGCTGGTATGGCTCAGTGGATTGAGCGCTGGCCTGTGAACCAAAAGGTCATCAGTTCAATTCCCAGTCAGAGCACATGCCTGGGTTGCAGGCCAGGGGTGTGCAAGGGGCAACCAACTCATGTTTCCCTTGCACATTGATGTTTCTCTGCCTCCCTACTCCTCACTCTGAAAATAAATAAATAAAATCTTAAAATAAAATAAAATTAAATCAACAAGTTCTGTTCATCAGAAGATATCATTGCTCTGACCTGTTGGTCAGGGCACATGCCTGGGTTGCTGGTTCGGTCCCAGATTGGGGAGTGTATGGGAGGCAACCAATTGATGTTTCTCTTTTTTCTTCCTCTCTTCCACTTTCTCTAGAAATAAATAAATAAAATCTTTAAAAAACAAAGAAGAAGGCATCATTAAGAAAGTGAAAAGGAAAGCTACAGAGTGGAAGATATTTATAATACATATAGCCAGTGCAGAGCTCATACCCAGAACACATAAAGCACTCCGAGAACTCAATATGAAAAAGATAATCCAATAGAAAAATGGAAAGATTGATGGGAGCAGGCATTTCACAGAAGAGGAAACACAAATGGCAGAGCTAAATATATATATTTATTATATATAAATATATATATATACACACACATTGTATGTGTTTCCTGTAGCTACAGTAACAAAGCACTATAGACTGGGGGGTTTAAAACAAGGGAGATTTATTCTTTTCCAGTTCTGGAGGCCAGAAGCCCAAGATCAAGGTGTGGGTAGGGCCTGTGCCTTCTAAAGGCTCTGAGGGAGGGTCTGTTCCATGCCCCTCTCCTAGCTTCTGGTGGCGGTCAGCAATGTTCGATGTTCCTTAGCTTGTAGGCACAACACTCCAATCTCTGCCTGCATCTTCATATGGCTTTTCCCTCTCTGTGTCTGTCTTCTTTTCTCTTCTTATAAAGACACCAGTCACTGGATTAGGACTCGCTCCAGTATGACCTCATCTTAACTAATTATATTTGCAAAGACCCCACTTCAAAATAAAGTCACATTCTTTTTTTAAATATTTTTATTTATTTATTTTTAGAGAGAGGGGAAGGGAGGGAGAAAAAGAGGGAGAGAAACATCAATGTGTGGTTGTCCCCGAGCGCCCCCTACTGGGGACCTGGCCCACAACCCAGCATGTGCCCTGACTGGGAATCAAACCAGCGACCCTATGGT